ACTACACGGCACTGACGCTGGCGGTGTTTGCGGACCTCGGCTACTACCGCGTGAATTGGGCATGGCGGAGCCGATGGGCTGGGGCAACAACTCCGGCTGCGGCTTCCTGGACAAGAAGTGCAATGAAATCGGTGGCCTCGCCACCACGTACCCGCACATGTTCTGCGATGACAAGGACACAGCGACGCTCCGCTGCTCCTCTGACCGTCGCCACCTCGGGAGGTGCACCGCAGGCATCTTTGAGCAGAGGGGGAGTCCGAGAGAGAGGGACGTATGCCCTGTTGTTTCGACGTATCTTCATGAGTTGGCCTCTGGGACAAGGTCCAACGCGTGCGCGGACGCAAGCGTGAAGGATCTCCCTGGGTCGCTGACTGGCAGTGGCTCGTGGTGCCTGGACGCGAAAGCGCTGAAGGTGAAGACGAACGCCGGTGCAAAACTCGCGGGCGTGTGCGCGCAGGTGCTGTGCGAGGGCGGTGCAGTGAAGGTGAAGTACAGCGGCGGCAGTGCGTACGTGGACTGCCCCGCTGAAAAGGAAATCGAGGTGAATTCAGATGATTTTGAGGACGGCGGCAAGATCAAGTGCCCGAAGTACGAGGAGGTGTGCACCATCGCCGCGAACGGCAGCAGCCTCGTCATTCCACGCGTGTTGAGTGGAGCAGAGCAGGCGACAGGTGAGGCAGTTGAGCCGCCCCGTGCGGAGGCCTCTTCTGCAGCTGCGGGCGGCGATTCTTCCAACCCGAAGGCTGCAGCGGCGGTTGGGCCCGGCACGTTGTCGGCTGCTGAGGCGCAGGGGCGAGCGAAAGAGCCTGACGGTGGCGCTCACTCTGCTGCAGCCTCGCCGCTCTTCGATGGCGCCGCCCCCTCACCGGGCGAGGCCGTTGCCGCAAAAGAAAGCGCCGCGGCGGGCGCGGCGGGAGCAGCTGCTGTGGGCCCCGATGCGCCTGCGCCGCCCACCCCGACACCGGCGGCGTCCGTCAACGGCAGCGCCGTGCAGAAGAAACTTGACGGGGCGGCGCGGCAAGTCGGAAGCGACGCCGGTGCGGCTGCTGCGGCTGTTGGCGGCAGTCACTTTGTGCTGCTCGCCGTGGCCGCCGCGGTGGCGATGCTGCCG